GACTGATTATTTTGCTCCATTTTTTTTTAAATTCCTCTAGGAGAAACTAGATCCACCAAAAGTGAGTTTTCAACAAACCAATCCATAGTCTTGTGGACTTGTAAAGCCATATTAGTGGTAGGATTAAGCTTTGGCTTCTCAAACTTTGTATGGATAATCTATAAATACGCCAATTGCGGCATTTCATACTCATAAAAGGTGACAACTTGGGAAAAGTATATAATGGTAGATGAAAAGTATACTAATTCATCAAATTCTACCCAACATGTCTAATCCAATCTATCTATATCATCCAGAAAAGGGAAAAGAAAGGAAAAAAGACAATTGTGGAAGAAGAGGGAAAAAAAGTTTTCCCATCATTGTCATGGGTGACTAATCTTAGAGCCAAGGGGTTCCTTGAGAAAAGAGAGGAAAGGAAAGAATTCAATTAAAAAAGAGATATGTATAAAAAGACGTTCTAGAATAGGAGTAGGACATCCCATTAATGGTGGGTGTTTTTAAATATTAGATCCTGATAAAATTACTTTAAAATAAACAATCATATAAAATTAACAAAATCAAATAAAAGTATGATAATTCAAGATAATAATATTATTGTTAAGGTATTCTGAATTAACTTTATAAATACTTCATGATCTTTATACCATGTTTTAACATGATCTTAAATTTTGAAAATGGTTCATTTCATCATAATTATGTACCATGATTTAAAATACCTCGTACGTTTGTTTAACTAATAAAATGACAATATAGGACTGCTTATACTTTTATAAATGCCCCCAATTATTAATTTTAAGTCAATTTCCCCTTAAGTTATTACTTTTGTCTAAAATTGACATAAAATCAATGATCCATAAGAGGTTGAGGAATATTTTGAACTGTTTTAATACTTCATGGGCGACTCTTTCTAAAATATAGAGGCATAGTAAAACATGGTATAAATTTTAGGGGCATTTATGAAATCAATCACTGTATTTTACATTACTGGTTAAAGAATTTTTGAAAAATTAAAATTAAGAGTCCATTGGTTACTGAAGAGTGGTCATGCAGGCAATCCTGCCTCAAAAGTCTACTTTGGACGGATTATAAGATTTCAAAGTGACGGTTAGAGATCATTTAAGTGACCCCTAGCCCTCCAAAGTCATTTGAATTAAAATGCAAAAGGACCCCACCATAATTAGTTATTTATTTCAACTATTTGTAGCTTTTCAACAATAGCAACTTCAGGTTTGAATTTGTGTAACAGAATCCTTGGAGGAGCTTTGCTAAATAATTTGTTAAAATGGGGCCCGTTTAATTCGTTGATTTGAGTTTTTAATTTGAGTTGAGATGTGACTTTACGTAAGAATTTTTTAATGTAACTTTTTTTTACATGTGATGATTTCTAAGAGCTTTTAGTGTAATAAAATTTAAATTTTAAACTCGAATTGACGAAATAAACAGGACCTAAAGCTTTTACCTCTCATTGGGTGACTTTTTTTTTTTTTTGGGTAGAAAAGTGAGAATCCTCCTAAGTCATTCATTCTTTACTTTTAGGCCCCTTGATTAGTCTAGCATCTTTACTTTGAATTTACATTTACATTTCTTTTTTTTTTTTTCGTAAATGTATATGAAGGACAAAGGAGAGATAAACAAAAAAAAAAAGTTTATAATACGTGGATGGCACATGCAAATTGGAATTATTTGTTTTCCATCTGTTGTATTTTTATGTAATTAAGCTGTCACCCAATTTTTCAAATTTTCTTAAAATTATTTTATCAAACCAAAGAAGCTATTTGCCTTGCTAAGTGTTCTTGTTTATCCTTTTTTTTTAATATCTTTACATTTATGTCACTATTTTTTTACTATTTTTATATTTATGGCACTCAAAATATACGTTTGTGTCACTTAATTTTTTTTTCTGATTTTACTGCACCACTTCTATGACATAAACATTAATTAGTACTATTTTGAATGGTATTTTTAATTTTCTCTCTTTTTTAATGGATGAAAAAGGTAGATTTATTCATTTTGTTGCCATCTCTTCCTATCATCTTTTTCTTATATTTATGCAAGCTTTCTTCTTTTTTTTTTTTTCTTTTTTTTAAGGGAAAATGCAACCATATATCAAGTTAGGCAGGTTGAACACCTTCTTCTTTGTCCTTTTATGTTTTATCTTTGGTTAAATTATTAAAGACGGTTCAATAGTACATATTCTACTCAATCTTTGACTTTAAACTTTGCTTTGATCTATAAATATACAGGGAGAAAGAGGGAAATAGGCCAAGACTTGAGATGAATTAAAATTAATAGATCAATAGTTTATATAAGTTAATAAATAGGCTAAATTACTGTTTTTATTCATAATTTATCTGGTTATGAACCATAACTTAACAGGTTATTGTCTATAATTCACAATTTTTATCAATAACTTGTCTGACTATAAACCATAACTTGACAAGTTATGGCCTATTAATTTCTATAACTAAAAATTTATCTATATACTTTCTTAAGCTTTTCATATTGACTAATTTTTTACTATTTCTCAAATATATATATATATATATATATATTCCTAGCAGAAGTTTTCAGCCTTTGCGCAGAGAAACTGTAAAACTCATGAATGGCTGTAAAAAAGAAAGTCCCTAGAAAAAAAAAATGGGGGAGGAGAAAAAAAAAAAAAAGCTGCAAAAAACAGCATGTGCATAATTCTCAAGATTTTTATGGAGCAAAAAGATGGAACTCCTCTGACGCGGAGCACTAGCAATAGTGTGATTTGAATGAGATTAAATCAGAATTGCATTGGACTAAAAACATCCGAATTATCTGATAAATACTAAAAAAATATTTAGCAAAAATAAAGCTTAAAACAATAATTTGCGCACAATTTTGTATGTTGCTTTTCTCTTTTTTCCTCAGTGAAAGTGAAATAATATGTCGTACCCGTGCTCTCTATTTTTGTTTTTTTTACAGGACGTACCCAAACTCCACTCCACTTAAATTCTCAGGTTTCGTTTATTTCACCGATTTGACTTTTCAGTTTTAGATTTTTACAGTAAAAAGTTCTTAAAAAATGTCACATTTAACTTTTTCTGCTACAATAAAAAGCTCTCATAAAATGTCTCCGTTCACTTCACCGATTCGAGTTTAAAATTTAAGTTTTGCTACAGTAAAAAGTTCTCAGAAACAGTCACATCTAACTTTTTTACTATAATAAAAAGCTCTCACATAAAATCACATCTCAACTCGAATTACAAACTCGAATCAGCAAAGTGAACGGGCTATAAATTAAGAGGTTTTAAGCCCGTAATCTCTATTTAATGCCACTATTAAAATCTATTAGAAACACAGGTGAAATAGAAAGTTAATTAGTATTTGATTTCTAAATATTCATGCACGCCAAACACATAATCTCACTATTTTAAAGAATAAAAAATAGAAACATAAAAAAAAAATCTCTCATAAAAAAAAGAGCTATAGAACAATGGTCTATTATCGCTAACATTTGATCTCACACATGTTAGGTTCTCGTTTGTCTTTGCATAAACAAGAAAATGATTGGTTTAGTTTTAGAGAAACCTTGATAGAAAATAAAATCTTTTTGTGGTTCGGGAATTAAAGGTAACACTAGCAAATGGCTATATTTATTGAATTAATTATAAAAATTCCACCCCCCAACTATAATTAATTTTTTGGTCCCCCATCTATTAAATTTTAACGTATAATTTTTTTAAAAAAATTCATGAAAATTAACACACAATTAATTGTTCACTGAATTTTTCAGTGACCCTCGTTTTCTTTGTTTGACATGCTATTTTTGTTAAAATTCTAATGGAATAAGGTTTTTCTTTTTTTTTTTTTGTTAATCTTTCATGCATCATAAGAATAAATAATACGTTTTAAAGATTGGAAACACGTTTGGTTATAAGGGTTATAGTAAAAGCAGAATATGTAATTAATGCATTTTTTTTGTTGTTGTTGTTTTTTTTTGGGGTATAAACAAATTCCAATATTTTGTTTAGCAAGGGAAAGCACTAACATAAGTGAAAATCTCAATAAAGTTGCACCCTAGTTGCAGAAAAGTCACACATACACACAAATGTATATACATATACAAAGTATACATACTATATATATATATATATATATATATATATATATGCGTGTGCTTGGTGTCCCCACGGACCCCACCTACAAAAGCGCACTGAAACCTGTTCTGATTGGTCCAACCAAGTCGAAACGCATGGGGCGGTGTACCTGCAAAACCCATCTCCTTCTTTGGCTTATTATTAGCATAAGGGTATTTGGCATATTCACCCCTAAATTTGCAGCATTTTTGACAACTTACTTTTTAAACTTTTAATTTTAATAATTTATTTCTCTTGTAAAAAGATTGTAATTTAGCCAATTTTGAGGATGTCATGTTAAAAGCATCTCTAAGAGAGTTTTTTAAATTTTAATTAAAATTGTTAAAATATTATTTTAATTAGTAATTTTTTAGTGAGTTACTCTAATTATATTTTCTACTTTAACTCAATATAAACTATTTTAATATTTATTAAATTTAAAATATAAACAATTTTATTAAATTTATAAAAAAATCTTTACATTTATTACAGTTAAACAAATAAAATAATATAAAAAATTAAATAACTAACCACTCCATATTAATTATATTTAGTTAGTGTGAAAGATATTCTCTAAAATATTTAATCATTTAACTAATAATTAGAGTAAAAAAAATAAAAAAAATTAAATCATTAATTATTTTAACTAAAAAATAAAATGATTAATATAATTAAAATTGTTCTAAATTAATAATGAAAATGTACCTTTAAAAAAACTCAACATTTTAATTCAAATTATAATATAAATAATTCTTCAATTCTCAATCCCTGGAATTTGACAACAAAAAAGAACACACACACAAAATATCTATCTCATTCATATTAAACTATTACTAATCTACTGTTCATGGAAGAAAACAACAAAACATCCATAAATACTGATCCACTTGGTACACGTATACAAACAGGAGAGAGAGAAAGATAGAGAGAGAAAACCCATTTCCGACAAGCTTCAACACACGCATCTGAAGTTTTTCATTTTCCCCAGTAACCGAAGTTGTATTCTTTTGTGTAGTTTACTATTATTAAACTAATTATTCATCATTCATTTTCTCACGGTGTTCAAGGAAGTTCCATATTCCACTGTTCGGTTATTGTCCAACAACGGAAGAATAATCAATCACCACCTCGATTCACGAACTGGGTCGTGGACAGATCTCGGTTTCGAGCCAGGAAAAATCGGTTTGACTTTTGAGGTAAAACAGCCAAAAGCCAAAGAAAAAAGAAAAAGATAAAGAGCTTGTACCAATCTTGGGATTTTTGCTTTCTTCTCTTTTTGTGCTTTTATTACTTGTTTTTCATTTATTTATGTTTTAATTGCTGTTGGAGAGCTCAAAGGAAGGGAATTTCAAAGTGGGATTTTTTTGGTTTTGTTTTTAGAATTATGTGACGATCTGGGTCATTGTCTTTTTTTTTTTTTTTTGCTTTACCTCTTTTTACTCCCTTGGATTCCGGTCGTGGTGTTTCTGTGTTAGAAAAGTAGGTAGCTTTATTGGAATCTGTTCATATCTGGCGTTTTTTGCTTCTTCTTATCTTATTAAGCTTTGGGAATTTTCTTGGTTTTTAGTATAAGGATAATAATTCACTTGAAAGGTTCAATTTTGTTTTGTGGGGGTTTGGATTCTGGAGCAAAATTCCCGTTCATTTCAGCTTATCTTTAGTTTTAACTTTCTGGGTTTGGCTTTAAGTTCTTGGTTTTTCCTGATTTTGGTTTTGTCTGCTGCTTCTAGAGTTGTTCATCCAAAAAGGGTCTTTTTTTTAGTGTTTTGAAGAATTTTCTGTGTTGATATCTTCATCTCATAGTTAATTTCTGGTACTTTGCTACTGAATTTTCTTAAACTTGTGCTTATTTTGGTTGTCACCCTCTTGTCTTTAGTTTGGGTTCTGGGTTTTGAAGGAAGCAAAAAAAAAAGTCCTTTTTTTGTGTGGAAAATCTGGCTTCTGAATATATATATATATATATATACATATATATATATGTATATATATATTCCTTTTGTGTATCTCAGCTTATGACTTATGCTAGTACCTCATAGCTTATACATAAATCTCTCAACAACTGGGTTTGATAAAGAACGTCTTATTTGTTAAATTTTGGGTTCTAAATTTTATGACTTTTCCTTTTCTGGTGTATCTTATGCATTATATCTATACATCACTTCACAAAATAATTTTGAGCTTTTGCTCCAAAAATCCCTCAAAACTTTCTAGTATTTATATTAATTCTTGGGTTACTTTTATTTTTTCACACAAAATCTTCTTGTGCTTCCACAGGTTCCAAATCTTCTAAGCCGCCATGGATTCCCCACAATCCGTTGTGTCTCCATACAAGAACTCTGCCGATTCTTCCGAGCATGAGAAGCAGAAATCCGACTTCTTCACCACCAGAACCTCCAAGGACCTCAAAACCAACGGCAAAGATTCTGCCCGACACAACAACAACAACAATCTAGAGCCGTCCATAGGCCTCCTCCATGTCTACATCCACTCAGCCAGAGACATCCACAACATCTGCATTTACCACAAACAAGACGTCTACGCCAAGATTTGCCTCACCACTGATCCAGACAAAACAGTCTCCTCCACCATCATCAATGGCGGAGGCCGAAACCCGGTTTTCAACGAAAAGCTCGAGCTCAGTGTCAACACCATTGAGTCCTCTCTCAAGTGTGAGATTTGGATGCTCAGCAGGGTCAGGAATTACCTTGAGGACCAGCCTCTTGGCTTTGCCTTGGTCCCTTTGTCTGAGGTCTTGATCAACAATGGAGAGTTGGAGAAGGAATTCTCACTCTCCTCCACCGATCTCTTCCACTCCCCGGCGGGTTTTGTCCAGCTTTCGCTTAAGTACACCGGGGCGTCGCCCGCGGTGATTGTGAGTGCGAAGCCCGCAGCAGCCACCAATTTGCAGGAAGATGGTGATGCTGATATATCTGAGTCTCCTATCACTAGTGAATTGGACAAGATTGAGTTCCCGGATCCTAAGATTGCGAATGAGGATCAGATAATGGTTTCGGAGTATTTTGGATTGCCATGTACTAGTTTGGAGTCTGATGATACTAGCTCCGAGAGCTTGGTCAATGCTGGTGGTGAAAATGTTGTTAATGATCAACATGATGATGTTGTGGAGAGTTTCTCCAATGCCGAGACTGTCCAGGCTCCTCCGAAAGCAGTCGATTCGCCACCAAGCGTGTCGACGGCAAATGGAGCTTTGTCTCCTTCGGTGCAAGCGAGCTCGGAGTCTTCTGAGGCTCCGGCGGGGGAGAAAGCGAAATCTCCGGACAGGAAACAGGCCAAGGAGAAAGCTGTGGATGGAAAGGATAGTGAGAGTGATTCCTCTGGTGGGTTGTCGAGTGATTCGTTCACAAAGCCTGTTGTGACTGTCAACATTGAGCCTGAGCAGAAGGTTGTGCAGCAGGAGATTGTTGACATGTACATGAAGAGTATGCAACAGTTCACTGAGTCCTTGGCGAAAATGAAGCTCCCTTTGGACATTGATCCTGCCGGGACAACGACAACGTCAACGACAACCCCGACCTCCATGTCCTCCTCGGAGAATTCGAGCTCTGATCCGAAGTTACAGGCCGCGAAAAACAGCGGCTCCCGTGTGTTCTATGGGAGCAGGGCTTTCTTCTGAGCTTTGTGTTTTGCCAAAAAGTTAAAGTGGGAATTTGGCAAAGGTGACTTAGAATTTTAGAGAGGCAAAAAAAAAAGAGAGACTAATACTAGTGTTGAGAACTTTGGAAAGTCTAATAACGTGTCATGTAGTTGTTGTATCTTGTATTTTGTATCTTCCTTTTACTTTTGTTGAGATGTTTTTAGGTGATGATGACATGAACTTACTCAGTATGAGCTTATGAGCTTTGTTTTATGTATGATGAACTATTTCCGTTACATTTTCTTTCCTCTTTTCTGTAAGATTTCATACTGAAATAATTGAAAAATCAAATAGGGTCATGAACTGCTGAGGCTATTCATATGTAAAATCATGTGAACGATGATATTAGTAAGGTCCCACATTCACGTGGTGATTAGAGGAAAAAGTTAAAAGTTTGATTTGTGGAAAAGCGCAAGTTGTTTTTCTTCTTTGGCCGTTTCTCATGAAATCATTAGGTTTATAAGCCATCATCATATCTTTTCAATCTCCATCAAGAGTGTGAATTGGGGCCATGGTTATTAGTGGGGGTGTTAAACTATATATTTATGGCTCAATCTTGAGGCAAAAATGTACTACTTTCTTTTGCTCTAACCTAATGAATGCTTGTTTCTGCTCATTAAAGCAGAAAATCACAAAAAGCAAAAGCACCTTGTTCACAACTGCTTATTATAAAAAATTAAGTTCTACAGGCAAGCTTAACAGGAAAGATACCACTGCAAACAAAGTCTAAAAATTGCCCATTATAAATATATATATA